CTGCTCTGGCGGGGGGGTTGGGCTGGGTGATCTTTCCAGGTCCCTTCCAACCCCTAAGATTTTGTGATTCTATGTGACCTGACCCTGTCTCTGTCTCTCCTGCAGTCGGGCAGTTCAGAGGAGCTTGGCCATCATTCGTCAGGCCAAGCAGAAGAAGAAGAAGAAGGAATATTGCATGTACTACAACCGCTTTGGAAAGTGCAACCGTGGGGAGAGCTGCCCCTACATCCATGATCCAGAGAAGGTGGCTGTCTGCACCAGGTAGGGCTGGACACAGCACTGCATGCTTCAGCCTGTCATACAACCATGGAATGGTTTGGGTTGCAAGGGACATTCAAGATCGTAGAGATCCACCCCCCCTGCCACGGGCAGGGACACCTCCCAGCAGCCCAGGCTGCTCCAAGCCCCATCCAACCTGCCCTTCAACACTGCCAGGGATGGGGCAGCCACAGCTTCTCTGGGCAACCTGGGCCAGGGGCTCCCCACCCTCACAGAAATTAATTACTTCCTCCTATCTCATCTAAATCTCCCCTCTTTCCATTTAAAACTGTTCCCCCTCATCTTCTCACTCCCCGCCCTTGTCCAAAGTTCCTCTCCAGCTTTTTTGTAGCCCCTTCATGTACTGCAAGATACTCTAAGGTCTCTCCAAATCCTTGGTTCTCCTGAGTTGATGACCAAGTCTGGTTTTGGGCTGTGTTCATTGCATACTTTGGAATTGCTGGTCCTTGGAGTCTTTTGGTCTCCAGTCTGCCCCATTTCCATGAATCATAGACTCAAGGAATCGTTTGAGTTGGAAGGGACCTTAAAAATCATCTAGTTCCAACCCCTCTGCATGGGTAGGGACACCTCCCACCAGACCAGGTTGCTCAAGCGCCTGGAACACTTCCAGAGATGGTGCAGCCACAGCTTCTCTGGGCAACCTGAACAGTGTCTCACCACCCTCATAGTGAAGAATTTCCTCCTAATATCTAATCTAAATCTCTCCTCTGCTCTTGTGTTTCCTTACCCTGGTACCTTCTAGACCCCATCCTGTTGCCATCTCTTCATTTTCTTATTTTCCTCTTGGTTTAGAGAATCCTTTTATTTCCAGCTCTGGGTGTTTTGAGGAGCTGCATGTGGCTATGCTGCCATCACAGTCATCTGCAAACCTTGTTGCCATCAACCAGTTGATTCTCACCTCTCTATGTTCCCCATGTATCCATTGTTCAAGCCTAACTGAATTTGATTTTATATTTAATTAGCATCTCCATTCTGAGCTCTTCATTTACCCAGATTTTATAAATCAAGCTGGGCCATATTCTGTGCTCCAGGACCTCCCTGTATGGTCATGCAGCTCAGAACACCTGCTTTTGGGGACTTCAGACCAACTCTCTTCCCACAACAAGAAGTCTTTTATTAATCTACTGTCACCTTGCTACCTCCTTGGAGAACTTCTGAATCCAAACATCCTCACATGCATACATATCTTGGTTTCTCTTGTGTGCTTGTCTCTGCTTCTCCAGGTTGTTGGCCACTTATACCCAGAGATTCTCCTGGTGCTTCAGCTGGCACCTGATGTTACCAGGGCTCTGCAAAGGATGTCTCTCATTCTGGGAGCATCATCTCTGAACCTCGTGGTACAGGCCTTGCTCTGGCTGCTTCTGATCAGCCAAACATGATGAAAGAGCAAAATCTCTCAGGAAGCATGAGCTGTTCTTCTAAGGAGAAGGACTCATCTATTGATTTAGGCATGAAATGGGCTTTAACAAGGAGCTCAGCAGCAGTTGTGTGTGTTTGTGACCTTGGGGCAAAGGTGGTGATAGAAACATAGAATCCTTCTGGTTGGAAAAGACCTTTAAGATCATCAGGTCCAACCTTTAACCTTTCACTGCAAAGTTTACCACTAAACTGTGTCCCTGAGCACCACTTCTACATGGTTTTTAAATCCCTCCAGGGATGGGGGCTCCTCCAGTTCCCTGGGCAACAGTTGCTGTTTAAAACCAAACGTTTTGTGACCCACCTCCTGCTCAACCCTCTCCTTCTGCTGTATCTACAGGTTTCTCCGTGGCACCTGCAAGAAGACAGATGGGACCTGTTCATTTTCCCACAAGGTGTCCAAAGACAAGGTCTGTATGAGTCATAAAATGGTTTGGTTTGGAAAAGTGACCCTAAAGGTCATCTAGTTCTAAGAAGCTCAGGGGTGCTCTGCAAGCAAGTAGAGCTTTCCTGTGGCTTCCCAACAAACATGGTGGGGCTCTACAAGCCAGCAGGTCTATGCTGCTGGTTGAAGAGAAGTCTACCTCATTGGGTGCTTCTGATAGAGTTAATTTGTAGTTGGCTTGCTAAGTTCTTCAGGCTCCTGGTGGGCTTGTCAGAGCAGAGCTTGCCAGCACAGTGAATCACCCAGGGCTGCATTGCTTTAAGAGGTGCTTGAACCCCAGGGATTGGAGAGAAAGAACATGGTAGTGTTTCATCTGTCTGTCCATATGATCACCCTCCCCTCTAAATCACCCTTGCTGGGGCTGGAAGAGGGGGATGTTAGAGCATCAAAGAGCTTGGAGATAAAAATTTACCTGTCTCAAAAGGCAGAACAGCTCTGGAGTTCATGGTTGTCTTCAACCTTCATGATGTGTTTGGGGGTCCCTGGTTTTATTACACATGGTGAGGTGGAAAAATAATTAGATTTTCTTTTAGTGATTATCAGTTGATGATTTAGCAGATTAACCTCCATTCAGTGCCTATGATCTCCAGTTGGATGTAGCTCTGGAGACCTCAAGTGTTGAAGCTGTAGTGAAGTGTAGCTGCCAGGTCCTTCTCTGAGCTGGGATGTGCTTGGGGCACGTATTTACATTTCAGCTTTTTGGATCTGAAGGATCATTTCTCTGCTACAGGCAGAGGATCACCCAAGCAACAGCAACAAGGTTAATCCCCAAAGGGTTTTGAAGGACCCCCTGAAGTGGTGTCACTGTGTGGGGAGAGGTTTGTGACCTGCTGAGGTGCCAAAGCTCCACTGATGGAGATGCCAGAAAGAGAGATGAGAACAAGGACAGGCTGTCTTGGAGAAGCTTGTCAAGCTCAGTCCTTCCACATGTCACTCAATAAGTCTGCAGCCCCCTGGGCTGTATTTCTAACTTGTCATTTGTTGAAAGCAGCTTTGTCAAAGCTTTTGCACCTGTGCCAGGTGCACGGTGGGGGCTGGAGCTCACCTGAGCTCTTTGGATCTGGCAGCACTGCTTTTCATTCATAGGATCATCAGATGGTTTGGGTGGGCAGGGACCTTAAAGATCATCTAATTCCAACCCCCTGCATGGGCAGGGACACCTCCCAGCAGCCCAGGCTGCTCCAAGCCCCATCCAACCTGCCCTTCAACACCACCACTTCTACATGGTTTTTAAATCCCTCCAGGGATGGGGGCTCCTCCAGTTCCCTGGGCAACAGTTGCTGTTTAAAACCAAACGTTTTGTGACCCACCTCCTGCTCAACCCTCTCCTTCTGCTGTATCTACAGGTTTCTCCGTGGCACCTGCAAGAAGACAGATGGGACCTGTTCATTTTCCCACAAGGTGTCCAAAGACAAGGTCTGTATGAGTCATAAAATGGTTTGGTTTGGAAATGTGACCCTAAAGGTCATCTAGTTCTAAGAAGCTCAGGGGTGCTCTGCAAGCAAGTAGAGCTTTCCTGTGGCTTCCCAACAAACATGGTGGGGCTCTACAAGCCAGCAGGTCTATGCTGCTGGTTGAAGAGAAGTCTACCTCATTGGGTGCTTCTGATAGAGTTAATTTGTAGTTGGCTTGCTAAGTTCTTCAGGCTCCTGGTGGGCTTGTCAGAGCAGAGCTTGCCAGCACAGTGAATCACCCAGGGCTGCATTGCTTTAAGAGGTGCTTGAACCCCAGGGATTGGAGAGAAAGAACATGGTAGTGTTTCATCTGTCTGTCCATATGATCACCCTCCCCTCTAAATCACCCTTGCTGGGGCTGGAAGAGGGGGATGTTAGAGCATCAAAGAGCTTGGAGATAAAAATTTACCTGTCTCAAAAGGCAGAACAGCTCTGGAGTTCATGGTTGTCTTCAACCTTCATGATGTGTTTGGGGGTCCCTGGTTTTATTACACATGGTGAGGTGGAAAAATAATTAGATTTTCTTTTAGTGATTATCAGTTGATGATTTAGCAGATTAACCTCCATTCAGTGCCTATGATCTCCAGTTGGATGTAGCTCTGGAGACCTCAAGTGTTGAAGCTGTAGTGAAGTGTAGCTGCCAGGTCCTTCTCTGAGCTGGGATGTGCTTGGGGCACGTATTTACATTTCAGCTTTTTGGATCTGAAGGATCATTTCTCTGCTACAGGCAGAGGATCACCCAAGCAACAGCAACAAGGTTAATCCCCAAAGGGTTTTGAAGGACCCCCTGAAGTGGTGTCACTGTGTGGGGAGAGGTTTGTGACCTGCTGAGGTGCCAAAGCTCCACTGATGGAGATGCCAGAAAGAGAGATGAGAACAAGGACAGGCTGTCTTGGAGAAGCTTGTCAAGCTCAGTCCTTCCACATGTCACTCAATAAGTCTGCAGCCCCCTGGGCTGTATTTCTAACTTGTCATTTGTTGAAAGCAGCTTTGTCAAAGCTTTTGCACCTGTGCCAGGTGCACGGTGGGGGCTGGAGCTCACCTGAGCTCTTTGGATCTGGCAGCACTGCTTTTCATTCATAGGATCATCAGATGGTTTGGGTGGGCAGGGACCTTAAAGATCATCTAATTCCAACCCCCTGCATGGGCAGGGACACCTCCCAGCAGCCCAGGCTGCTCCAAGCCCCATCCAACCTGCCCTTCAACACCCCCAGGGATGGGGCAGCCACAGCTTCCCTGGGCAACCTGGGCCAGGGGCTCCCCACCCTCACAGCCCAGAATTTCTCCCTCCCATCTCATCTCCAGCTCCCTCTGCCAGCTGGAAACCCTTCCCCCTGCTCCTATCCCTCCCTGCCCTTGTCCCAAGCCCCTCCCCAGCTTTCCTGGAGCCCCTTCAGGCACTGGAAGGTGCTTTAAGGTCTCTCTGGACCCTTGTATTCTCCAAGCTGAACACCCCCAACTCTCTTGAGTTACTCAAGTTCTGGTTATTAACCTGTACCCTGTGAACTGTCCTTTTCTCCACTCCCTTCCAGCATCACCATCCCCCATTCCCCACCCACAGCATCACTAATGACAGAGCGATTAGGGACTGGTAAAAGATTTAACCCATGGGACATCAGGTGCCATCAACCTCTGGGGCAGGACCTTTTCCAGCAGCCTTTGCCTTTGGGCAGGCAGTTTTCCTGCCTCCCTTTCCTCTCCCTTTGCCTGAGGCACGTTTTGTTGTCAGTGGGGAGCTCGTAAGTTCTGGAGGCAGCACAAGGTACCAGATGTTTCTTACATGTATCTCTCTTCAGAGTCACTTCATCAGGAGTATATAAAATAGAGAAGATAGGCTGGGGGCAGATGTCCTCCCTGACTGGTGGCACGTCAAAAGAAGGATGAGGATAAGAACTGATAGGAGGAAAAAGAGCTGGCTTGAGGGTTTGGGGTTTTTTTCTTCCTGTAACAGATAGTTAGAGCTTAGAAAGGAAAAAGGCAAGAAAGAAGAAAGCTTTGCAAAGGGACTGGCTGTTGGTGTGTCCAGAATTGTTAGAATTAATGCAGATTTGGAGTGGACATGGGGCCAGTGATGTCCTTCACTTGAGTACATGATATGCAAGTGCTGGTGGCAGGACATAACCACGGCCTGTGCCTTCATGCCAAAGGATCAGTGCTCATCCAGTCTGCACAGGACCATGGGCTTGCATCTGTACTGATGAGTCAAATGGTATTTCAGCAGGTGCTGGAGCTTGTTTTCAGTCCCAGAACAAAACCCTGGGGGAGACCTGAGAGTTGGAGATGGCCAAGGAGCTGTTGTGGCCAGTGGTTTTGGTCACAGTTGTGTCTGCTGATGGATGCTGATAGCTGGACATGGATGGGTTTGTGCCAGCTGATCTTGAGACCTGGGAATATTCCTCAGCATGTTTAATTTGCTGGTGGAGATGTGGCCTCAGTTTCCCCTCCAGAAACACTCCTCAAGGAGGATCTCAAAGTTCTGGCTTCCATTCTGGGAGGATAGATAGAGACTGCTGGCTGCACATGGCATGGAAAACTCAACCCTTCCCTCTTAGCAGCACTTCCCCAGTTGGAAACTGGGGAAGAATAATGATGATAGAGTAGTGTTAATAAAACTGTATTAAAAAGGAGGTGTCTCTGCAGAAGAGCCACTTTGCCAATGGCATTTTGGAGACAGCTTCCCTGGGAAGGGGACCCATGGGGTGCAGGTGGCCTCTTCCCAGCTCACCTTCTTCCTTAGCTCGTTGCTACCAAAGCATCATCTAAACTCAAGCTGAGTCTTTAAATGATCAAGCCTACAAACAAACCAGGCAGGTGCCAACTCTTTGACGTGCCTTAGAAACCAATGCTTTTGGAGCACATGTTTCCAGCCATGCACACACTCTCTGTGGGGAAGGAGGATGATTTTTTGCAGGATTAGGTGCCCCGGGGCCGGTTGAGAGGTCTCTGCTCGCCACCTTGTTGTCAGCACAGGCTGGAAGAGAAACAACCTCCTCTGCAGAGTTCAAGCTTGTTTCAGGATGATTTATAGCTGCAGGGATGCTGCTGCCCAAAGCCAGAGGTGACTTCAGCTTCTCAGCTCCTGTAGCTCCCTGTTAACCCGGGTGTTTGCTACCAAAGGTGGCATTAGCCTCATTTATCAGAGGTGGAAAAAAGGCAGGTAAAGTCACTCAGCAGAGGATGGCAACATTTTCCCTCCACTCTTGGGTTTTTTGGAGGAGATCCCACCTCCTCCTCACACCAGGGGTTAGGAGGTGGTTTGTTTTTGGCTATTGGAGTCAGGATTATAATGCAATTAAGGATTTTCCTCATGTGGTTGAGGATGAGGTGAGGTTGGTTGTGGTTTGGGGGCTGCCACTTTTGCTGATGCCTTGTTAGTTGACTCTCAATTTCACTTTTTGGTTATGGGGTGGGAGGAGCCCCACAAAGTGCTCCTCTTGAGAAGCTTCAGGTCATTGTCACAGAATCAACTGTTCTCATTGGGAAAAACCTTTAAGATCATCAAGTCCAACCATCAACTCAACTTTTAAACACCTTCAGAAATAGTGATTCAGCCACCTCCCTGGGCAGCCTATGCTGGTGTTTGTCAACCCTTTCAGTGAAGAAGTTTCTTTTGATATCTAATTTAAACCTCCCCTGGCACAACTTAAGACCATTTCCTCTCATCCTATTACTTGTTACCAGAGAGAAGGGACCAGGTCATCATGGATCTCACTTCAGTGGAAAGTTACCAGGGATGGAGCCATGTGCCTGGTCTAGGAGATGAAGGACCCAAGGCTTGCAAGGCTTAGCTATTGGTTTGAGGACAGATCTTTTGCTCAACCTTGGGGTGATCCCATGCCTCAGTTTCCCCACTGAAAAATGGGGACAATCCCTCTGTTTTACATGAGAAACCTGCATGGGTTCAGCTGGTGCAGGAACAAGTTTTTCCTCATCCTAAGCAGCAAAACCCTTCTTCAAGTAGAAGATGCTCTCCAGGATGAAGGGCTGCTCCAGATGGTAATGGTTTCAAGCTAGAGAAGGGTAGATTTAGGTTGGACTGTAGGAATAAGTTCTTTAATATGAGGGTGGTGGGTCACTGGAACAGGTTACCTAGAGAGGTGGTGGAGGCCCCATCCCTGGAGACATTCAAGGTCAAGCTTGATGGGGCTCTGAGCAACCTGTTCTCGTGTGAGATGTCCCTGCTTATTGTAGGGTGGTTGGACTAGATGACCTTTAGAGGTCCCTTCCAACCCAAGATATTCTATGATTCTCTGGGCACAAGGCTTTGCAGGTGCCTTCAAAAACCAAACTCTACTTCTGGTGATGGAAAAAGGATCCTGGAGGAGAGGGAAAGCTGCCATTTGGGGAATTTTACCCCCCAACGGATGCAGGACAAAGCCCTCAGTTGAGGAGCATCCATTGGGAGTGATGCACTGGGAATTTCTCCACGATGGGGTAGAGCTTCTGGTGATTGAGGGAAACCTGTAAATCTGAATGAATGAGTTTGTGAGTGAAGGTTACCGAGAGGCTGGGACTCGAGCAGCCGCCCCGCTGCTGCTACAACAGCTTTTCCCCTTGAGGAACTCGAAAAGAATCAGCATTTTTCTCCCTAATAGAGCTTCAAAACTCTGTTGTGAGCAATTTGGAGATTCACGTTGAGTTTCGGGTTCATTAGCTGCTGGCTCCAAAGCCTGTGCACAGTCAAAGCTGTCTAATACGGACGCACCGCACCAGTGCCTTGAATTAATGTTATTGTTATTTGTGTGGACGTAGTGGGGTGCAAACAAGGTTAATTGAAATGAGAGTGCTGCTTCCTCTTGATAATGGCTCAGGCTTGACAGCTAGGAGGAGTTTATTTTTGTAGAAGAGCTGCCTTTATTATCCCTTTTTATTAGAGCTAATTTGGGCTCTATATCAAAAACTACATTAAGGGAATCATTTACGGTCACACCACCACCACTGAAAAAGATAGCCCCAGAGCCCTGTCCTTTATGTTAATGTCTGCAGTTAAAAGACAATTAAAAATAAACTCTTCTCTTTTAAAGCACCCTTTGTTTTCATTCCTCCCTCCTTCTCTTTGCCTCAAGTGAGCCAATTTAGTTAAAACCCTCATGTGCCCTTCAGGATAAAGGGATTTTTCCGGATAGCCTCGACTGGGGTTATTTGCAGAATTGTAAATATTAGTTTGGGAATGCTTGAACCAGTGGGACTGAGATGCTACTGGTGAATGGAGGGATTGATACTTCTCTGAGTAGTGAGGAAATCCAGTGTGTAGGCAAGGAGCAAGGAGGGATTGAGCAAGAAGAAGCCGGATGGTCGCGACAGCTTCGGGAAGCGCACGTTCCCGTCAGCAGCTGCCTGGTGGGGTTGGGAAGTTGCCTGTGGTAGCTGGTGACTTAAGGATGCAGAAATATTGCAGCAGGCTGGTAATTTGTTTTTAATTATAACAGCTGGCAGAAGGTGAAGATCGTGGTTGGAGGACGATGAGGATCTTTGCTTGTTCTCTTTTCCCTGTTGGTTGTTGCGTTGCAGAAGCTCGGGAGCAGGTTCTGCTCCTTGTATCCAACCTCTCTCCTCCTCGACTGCCCGGATCTCTTCTCCTCCTTTCCCTCTTTCCTGGATCATCCCTCCTGGATCATCCCTCCTGGATAATCCCTCCTGGAGCATCCCTCCTCCAGTCCCCAGGGACAGGCATCATCCCATCGCTCCCAGCCTTTGGGGGACGTCAGGCTGATGCCTTGGCATGATGCAGCCTCTCCCAAAATACTCGTGAAGGTTCAAGCTCTTGTCTTCCCCCTTGCCAGGTCGTGCTCTCTAACCAGGTGCTCTGCACCCTCCAGCCACTTCCATACCCACAAAAGAGTTAAATAGGATGGGGGAGGCACCCCCAAGATGCTGTTTTGGCCCTTGCGATGGCCCAAACCCCCCATGGGAGAGGTTGGGCCAGGCTGGAAATGAGCTCTGCATTGCTGTTCTCATCACAGCTGCTGTGTCTCCCCTTGGAAAAGGCCTTTTAGGTCCTTTGTCGTGTGTCACAGAGCTCAGCTTAGTCCCTTTTGCAAGTGAGGAGCCTGGGGAGCAGCCACCCCTGTTATAGAACCACAGAATCAGAATCACAGAATTTTTTTAGTTGGAAGGGACCTTAAAGATCATTGAGCTCCAACCTCCCTGCATGGGCAGGGACACCTCCCACTAGAACAGGCTGCTCAGAGCCCAATCCAACCTGCCCTAGAACAACACCTCCAGGGATGGAGCCCCCACAACATCTCTGGGCAGCCTGCAGTGTCTCACCACCCTTACACTGAAGAACTGGCACTTGATCTCTAACCTAAATCTCTCTCCTTTCAGCTTAAAACCATTACCCCTTGTCCTCTCACTGCAAGTCCCTGTAAAAAGCCCTTCCCCAGCATTTCCTGTAGGCCCTTCAGGTACTGGAAGGCCACTATGAGGTCCCCCCAGAACCTTCTCTTCTTCAGACTGAACAACCCCAGCTCCCTGTCCTCCTCAGAGCTGCTCCAGCCCAAGGATCATATTCTGGACATGTTCCAACAGCTCCACATCCTTCCTGTGCTGGGGGCACCAGAGCTGGGTGCAGTGTTCTAGTATTCTTTTCTCCTCTTCAGGGTTGGTTGGGAGAACCTGCCATGTGTGTGGTACCAACAAAGCCCCCACTGACAGCAGATTTTTCTTCCAACTCCCCCCTCCCTTCCCCATCCTGCACAAGAGGCAGTTTTCTTTCTGGTGGTAGTTCCCTGCATCCCACCCTCTCTCCAGCATCCTGAAGGATGCTAAGGCAGCATGGTCACCCTGTGGGTACAGTGGAACCACATCATTTCAGGGAGCTGTGACCAGCAGAAGAACTAAAAATGCTTCTGGGATTGGTGGATTTCAAAAGGCATCTCTTTATTTTACATACATTGAGGTTTTATTTCAGTTCTGGGGGCTGGGATGGTTCCTAACCATGAGCTGGGGGGAGGACACTCATGATTTTTTCATCCTCTACCCTTGCAGATGCCTGTGTGCTCCTACTTCTTGAAAGGGATCTGCAACAACAGCAACTGTCCCTACAGCCACGTCTACGTGTCCAGAAAGGCAGAAGTGTGCCAGGATTTCCTCAAAGGATATTGTCCCATGGGAGAAAAGGTAAAGAAGGGACCAGATCTTGGGGTCTGGGGACAGATGCACCTTGGCTGAAGCCAGAAGCTGGTTTTTGCACTAGCAACAGCACTGAGGGGAGCTGGAAGCTGCTGAAAAACCTTGGATGTGATGAACAGTGGTCCTGAGCCTTCCCAAAGAGTTATGGGCAGAGGTTTGGTTGCTTTACAGGTGGGGGGGAAAACAAAAGAAAGAAACAAAGGGCCAGGAAGGTGATCCAAGGGCTGGAGCAGCTCTGCTCTGGAGCCAGACTGGGAGAGTTGGGGTGTTCAGCCTGGAGAAGAGAAGGCTCCAGGGAGACCTTAGAGCACCTTCCAGTGCCTGAAGGGGCTCCAGGAAAGCTGGGGAGGGACTTGGGACAAGGGCAGGGAGGGATGGGAGCAGGGGGAAGGGTTTCCAGCTGGCAGAGGGAGCTGGAGATGAGATGGGAGGGAGAAATTCTGGGCTGTGAGGGTGGGGAGCCCCTGGCCCAGGTTGGCCAGAGAAGCTGTGGCTGCCCCATCCCTGGGGGTGTTGAAGGGCAGGTTGGATGGGGCTTGGAGCAGCCTGGGCTGGTGGGAGGTGTCCCTGCCCATGGCAGGGGTTTGGAACTAGATGATCTTTAATGTCCCTCTCAACCCAAACCATTCCATGATTCTGTAATATGGAGGAGATTATCATAAGAGTTAGGTGGTTCAGCTGCTTCCACAAGCCAACAACAAGAGAACAGGAGGAGACATCTCCTTGACCTGGAGGTTCCAAGTACCACATTGAAAACACGACAGGAACTTTGCAAGTGCTGTTTTCCTTTGTCTCTTTGTCTGAAAAAATCAAACCACTAATGAAACCATCATTTGTTTGCCTTGAGTCTGCCAGATCACAGGGCACTCACCCAAATATTCTCCAGCAGGCCTATGGAATGATGTTGTTTTATTGCATTTAATAGTTAGCACAGGAATATGTGTCTGCCTGAGCACAGTTTTGCTTAGACTTGCTGTTCCTGGAGATTCCAAGCTCCCTTGGTGCCTTCTGCTTTTCACAGGGAAGTTGCTGGGATGAGGAACTGGGTGCTTGGATCCACATTCTGCTCTTGGATGGAGCTCCAAGGGGCTCTTCTCCTCCTTTTCTCCATCCCTGTAGCTCTCATTGGCAGAGGTACAACCCAGCCAGTGAAGCTGTGGGTGCTCAGCACCCATCACCCTGGTGTCACCCTGCAAAGCTTGTCCCAGCACCCAACACAGCAGTGGATGGTGCCTTCTGCAAGCAAACCCACCCTTTCCTGAGGAGAAACCAGGCTAAAACCAGGCTAAAGGAAGAGAAAAAAAAAAACAAACACAAAATGAGAGCTTTAAGCAAAGCAGGACATCAGCAGAAGTGGATGGAAATGTTAATAAATTAGTCTGTCCCTAATTACTTTTGGTGGCAGCGTGTGGAGGGGACTGAGTGCAGGATAAACATTTCCTCTGAAGGCAAACACAGGCATCCTGCCACCTCCTTCCAGCACAGCTCTGGCCACGCAGGCAGGGCCCTTACAATTATTTTTAAAATATTCCAATTTAAATGAAAATATAAAAGAGATATTTAGAATATTTATTCTATTAGCAAAAGTGCTTACTGTGTCACTTTTAGAGTGTCAGAGAAGCATTCTCCTACAGATGATGGATAGCAGCCTGTAATTATATATGGGGAGAAATTGCTGAGCAGGCCATATTTAACTGGGGAGGAGAAATACCAGCTTGGGCCATTAAGGGTTAATTTTATTCTCTAAATAATATAAAAAGTGCTGAGTCCATTCCTTTGCTCCCAAGTAGAAAGTCCTCAAATGGACCCCGGAGAGTTTATAATATTCTACTGAATCAAGTAAAAATGTTAACCTTGCTTCATAAAATGATGGCTTGTTAAAGATGCACAGTCCCTTTTCTTTTGAATAATTTAGGGTGGGAGTAAATCTTCTCTTGTTCTGCCTTTCCCTGGTCTGAGGAGCCACAAAAGTGTGGGTGGGAAAGGTGTGCAGCTCCTGTGGAACATCATGGAATCATAGAAGGTGTGGGGTTGGAATGGACCTTTAAAGATCACCTAGTCCAGCTCCCCCTACAAGAGATCTTTTTAACTAGATCAGGTTGCTCAGAGTTGCCCTGGTCAAGCCTGATCTTGAATGTTTCCAGGGTTGGGAACCTCCACCTCTCTGGGCAACCTGTTCCAGTGCTTCACCACCCTCATTGTAAAGAACTTCTTCCTAATGTCCAATCTAAATCTACTCTGCTCTAGTTTTAAGACCATTTCCCCACGTCCTATCACTACAAGCCCTTACAAACAGTCCCTCCCCAGCTTTCCTGGAGCCCCTTCATGTCCTGGAAGGTGCTCTAAGGTCTTCTCAGAGCCTTCTCCTCTCCAGGCTGAAAATGCCCAAATCTCTCAGGAGTTGTGCTCCAGACCTTCAGTCATTTTTGTGGCCCACCTCTGGACTCATTCCAACAGTTCCATGTCCCTCTTGTGTTGGGGGCTCCAGAACTGGACACAGGACTCCAGGTGGGGTCTCACAGGAGCAGAACAGAGGGACAGAATCACTTCCATTCATCTGCTGGCCACACTTCTTTTGATGCAGCCCAAGATGCAACTGGCCCTCTGGGCTCCACCACATGTTGTGGACTCATGTCCAGCTTTTCATCCAGCAGAACCCCCAAATCCCTGTCTCCAGGGCTGCTCTCTATGACATCATCCCTGTATTAATAATGAGGACTGCCCCTACCCAGGTGCCAGGACCTTGCACTTGGCCTTATTGATGCTCAAATGGGCCCACTTCTCTTGGCCAGGTCCTTCTGGGTAACATCCCATCCCTCTGGCATGTGGACTGCACCACCCAGCTTGGTGTCATCTGCAAACTTGCTGAGGGTGCCCTTGATCCCTCTGTCTCTGTTGTTGATGTAGACATTCAACAGCACTGGTCCTAGTACAGACTCCTTAAGGGACAACATCCTTAGAGGAGAAAATCAAGAATAAACTCAAATGAGGATGCCCAGTAATTGGGGATTTAGGTTTTTTTGTGCTGGGGTTTGTCACACTGGGCACTTCTCCCAGTTGCATTTTCCTCTCCTTTGAAGAAGCACCATTTCTGATTTTTAATAAAAAAATATTCATTATTACCCATAATTTATGATGTGTCTCTGGCAGTGTCACCTCTTAAGTACTTTCTAGATGTCTTGCATGATGCTCAGGCCAGGAAGATTGGCCTTTGACCCATCCCATGGGCTGTATCTCCAACTGCAGGAGCTCTTCATACAAAAGATGCTGGGACTGCCCTGCTCTGACTTCATCAGGAACTTAAAATAAATGAGAAAGCTTTAATTTTGCATTCCTAAATCCCTTTTTCAGGAAAGTAGACTGTAGAGGGGAAAGGTCCCTTCACTTTTGGGGAGAGGGGACAGCTTTTCTACAAGAGTGTGACCACGTCCTTCGTTAGGGAGTTACTCCCAATACTAATTTTGTCCAGGAGGGAACTGGTAGCAGAGCCAGAACTTTCATTTCCAGCATCCTCACCCATACTTCAGTAATGGGTTGGGAAGTTTCTCCACTCTGTGGGGACCTGCAGTTTCTCCAAGGGAAGCAGAGGAGCCTACAAATTCAGCTTGGTGAAAATATGGCTCCAAATACTTCTGCAGCTTGAGTCATCTCTAAACATAGCACCATCCATGTCTTAGCTCAAGCTGCAAAGTGATGCCCACAATGGAAATCTCCCTAACACCTTGCCTGAAGTTCTCTGACCTTCTTCAACACTGAAGTGGTCACTCTTGGGTAGGGTTGGTCTCTCTGGGCTGGTCACCTGCACTGGAGGAAGCCCAAAGGGGGAAGTGGGAAGACAGGGAGAAATGAGGTCTCTTGCAGGTGCTCCTCAGGGGTTTCTGAAGATGTTTTCATGAGCTGTTCTTTGGTAAAAACTCCTCTCTGGTTCCCCATTCCTAATCCTGTACTTGTCTGCACCTCTGGTGCATGAGTTCCCTGGGAGAGGATGGGATGAGACTGGTGGGCACAAAGGATGATGTAGACCCATCAAGTGAAGCCACGGTGGCATGTCCCTTGGGGCTAGGAAGAAGCAGGAGATGATGCTGTCATGAGTGGATGACATGGCCAGTGATGAGCCTGGAGGGAGGATGTTTGGCTTGCCCAAGAGGCAGTTTCTCTGCCAAGCCTCTCTCATTGCTTGGCTCCAGAAATGACACCCAACTAATACGAATTAATACAAAATAAGATGAAACAATGAAAATAATATTAAATAATGCAGAAATATGAAATGAACAAAATAATATGAAATAATATTAAATAATACCTGGTTCAAAGGAGCTTGTAGGGTGTTGACATGCTTTGCATGTTGGGCTGCTGGTTTAATACTTGATGGATAACTCTGGAATGAGATCCCTGCATGACTGAGAACTTGGACCTGGGAATCATGGATGGTTAAGGTTTGAAGGGACTTTAAAATCACCAAGATCCAACCTCCCTGCTATGAGCAGGGACACCTCCCACTAGACCAGGCTGCACAACCTGCCCTTGAACACCTCCAGGGAGGGGACACCCACTGAGGAATTTCAGCAAGTGTGTTCCATCCGTAGACGACCCCAAGGAGCTTCGCCTTACAAAGAATGACCTTTTGGGGGAATAATGTATTTGGAAGACTTGTGGCTAGGGTAGGTTTTGGTGTTGGACTCCTCCAGCCCTCACAGCACGTCAGAGCAAAGGCAAGTGAGTCCCCTCTTAACTGCTGCATCTGTAAAATTGTTTGGTATTAAATAAGCTTTTCCCCCATGGTGTCCATTAACGAGCGCGCGGCATTAAATACCGCTCCTCATATTGTTTCCATCAGCTGCCTTGAAGCCTGTGGGTAAATTGTTCTCCCGTGGGGACTGTTAAGCAGTAAGACATGGTGAGATTAAACAATGAGGCTACAGTGAAAAGGCACAGGGAAATGCACTGGAATAAATCACGGGGAAGCCGGGGCTCTGTGCTCCGGTGCT